TGCTCATTGGGGGGCTGATTTCTGATACCTGTATTAAGATTAGAGGTTAGTAATGCTGCATCTAGCCTCCCTATATTTCTCTGCTTCAACTGCTCTGCCTCATTTCAAATCTCCGCTGCACACACATCTGCTCTCCCTTTCCTATCATAGAAGATCTAGATGGAAATTAGGAGGGATACAGAACACCTAGTGCCACAACACTTAGCCATACTTTATTCATTGGTTGAGGGGTGCAAATGTTTTCTTCTGGGCCAGTCCATGAAGTTCCAAGAAAACCCAGTTGAGGGGACAGAGTCGGGGCAGATGACAGTTTTGCGGGGCCCCGGGCAGCATAATTCCGCGGGGCCCCCCCTTTGCCACGGCGCATGCGCAGCAACGCCATGCGCATGCGCAGCGGCACCACGGCGCATGCGCAGCGGCGCCACGGCGCATGCGCAGCGGCGCCACGGCGCATGCGCGGGGCTTTCCGAAGTGTGGGGCCCGGGGCAGGCTCCCCATTCTCCCTGCCCTATATCCGCCCCTGGACAGAGTAGCCCCTTTACAAGGGTGGTTCCTCAATTTACAGAGGAACATCAGAACGGCCATACTGAGTCAGACCACAGGTCCATCTAGCCAACTATCCTGCCTGCCGACAGTAGCCAATACCAGGTGCCCCCAGAGGGGATGAACAGAACGGAATCATCAAGTGATCCATCCCCTGACGTTATTTCCAGCTTCTAACAAACAGAGGCTGGGGACACCATTCCTACCCATCCTGGCTAATAGCTACTGACGGACCTAACCTCCATGAATTCATCTAGCTCTTTTTTGAACACTGATCAAGGCTGGTCTTCACACCATCCTCTGGAAAAGAGTTCCACAGGCCAACTGTGTTTTGTGTAAAGAAATACTTCCTTGTCTTTGTTTTAAACCTGCTACCTATTAATTTCTTTTGGTGACCCCTAGTTCTTGTGTTATGGGAGCAAGTACATAATTTCTCCTTATCTACTTTCTCCACACCGGTCATGATTTTATAGAGGTCTATCATATCCCCCCCCCCCTTAGACTCCTGCTTTCTAACCTGAAAAGTCCTAGTTTTCTTAATCTCTTAGGATACGTCTACGTAGCAACATTATCTCAAAATAACTAGTGTTATTTCAAAATAACAGTCCATGTCCACACAGCAGGCAGTTATTTCGAAATAATGTCGAAATACTGTCAAGCTGGAGGACTTTTTACTCCGACTCCTGTAACCCTCATTGTACGAGGAGAAAGGGAAGTCAGAGGAAGAATGCTCTATTTTGAAACAAGTGCTGTGTAGACCCTCCCAATTTTGAAATAAGCTATTTTGAAATAAGCTACGTAAGCAACATAGCTTAATTTGCATATCTTATTTCAAGTTAAGCCTTGCTGTGTCGATGCACCCCTACATATTTATCTTTTTTCCATTCATTTATATGGTAGTTGTCTTGTATTAAGGACCAAAGCCTGAGAGATGCTGAGCAACTGTGAGAGCAACAGGTCCTTGTTTTCCTTGATAAGGGTTAGAGGGCTCACAGAGAGGGTTCAGGATGGGAGAACTTGCTTTTGTCACAGATCACGGCAGATAATGAACCTGTTTGTGTGGACCCTTCTCTGTTGCATTAGCAGTCACCCCAGCTTCATGTGGAGTCTCATCCTTGTAGTAAAAAGACGCGAAGAAGAGGGCGAGAACTTTGCTCCATTGGGTGGTACGTGAAAATGTGAGGTGATAATGACAAGCACAAGCCATATGCTTTGTGACCAGAGATCTCTGAACGTAAAGCAGAGATGGCTAAGTATTATTATCCCTATTTTACAGATGCAGAAAACTGAGGCACAAAGTAGGGCAGTAACTTGTTCTGACATTATGGAGGCGTAATTTAGTGAGAATCCATCAGCTGATCATTTGGCTTTGCTTCAGGTCTGCCACATGCTCAGCTTCTCTGTTTAACCACATTTTCTCTGAGATGATTGTTACATAGCTCACATAAGCCAACAGCAGTGTGTACTGGAATTGCCAGACAATCAGACCAGGCTGCCAGACTATCTATCCCTGTAGCCTGCCTTCTCAGTGGCCCAGGGCCAAGTACTTGAGAGGAAGGTACAAGAATCCCCCCAGCAGGCAATGATGGGATTATCTGCCCACAGCGGAAGCATCCTCATTAGTCAGAAGCTGGCTGGGCCATATGAGGGCATGTAGCTCTTCCAAACTTTGAGCCTCTCCCCTCTTCTGAGGCAGTGGATCTACCTCCCTTTAACTGAGAGCAGAATTTAGCCTCTTTTTTTTCTTGCACGACCTTTAAAGTCTTGCTCTGCTTAGAACTACTTGGTTTCAGCTCCACTATGGTCTATGATCTTTAGACACAGAGGGAAGTCGTTCTTCCTGCCTTGGTTTCTATGGCAGATGTCCCTCCTGCTAAAAGAGACATAAAATGACTAAAAGCTGCGCTGCGGCTTTCAGTCTGATGTATAAAAGCATTCCAGAGACTTAATGCAAATAGGCGGCTCTAGCCGACCAGCTCCCTTGTTTTCCAAAGTGATATTGATTTGTTAAATATAACTATTAGGAGTGACAAATGGATCTATTTGTGTCAGAGAATTGGAAAGAAGGCTAAGAAAAGACTACTGGAGCTTGGTCAGCTGGAGACTTGAATGCTGCACTGCTGACTTGACACTAAATAAACTGCATATGCCTGGCTTTCCCCAGTTCTTCGTCGTTTGACATAATATTGGATGCCAGCTCCTGCTTGAATAATTCATGGAACATGAGAATATGAAACATTTCCAACTATTTTCTGTTTTAAACGCTTCATTTCAATCCCTGGCTGATAAATTTGTCACTGTCACTTTAAATACGGGTTTTACTTGGTTCTAACTGTCCAGATTGCTGATCCATCATTAAACAGCGGCAAGTGTTAAGGACGAGCAGACTCACTAATCTTAACCTGCGTCCGTGTTCAGAAGTCCTTCTGGGCTGTTAGTAATTTAGAAGAGATGTGGGAAAATGAGCAAGTCTGGGGAGAGGGGAGAAGATTGCGATGGGAAAATGATGGGGTGCAATGGGTCGGGGGGGAGGGGCAGTGAGACATTCTGATGGAAAAATAGGCTTCCCACATCTCATGAGGCATTAAGTAGGTGGATGACAGGCAGATCCCAGCCCCATTTACATTCCAGTGTTGATCCAGGATACTCCCCTCACTGCTGTTCCTGATTGGCAGGTGCAGTAAAAGAAAATCCTTTGCTCTCCCTGGATTATCATTGAAGCACAGATGCCCTGGCCATAGGACCTCCCCAATCCCCGTGGGCACCCTAAACAGATCCTGCAAGTGGAGTGCTAAGAGATCCTCCCCCTTCCTGGGGCAGCCTGCAGGATTCCATAAATTACGCAGGGCTCCTATCTGTGCCAGCACAGACTATGGGGCAGGACAGGGACCCTTCTCTCCCCGACACACAACAGGCTTCCCTCTAGCTAGGGAAAAAAATCATTTGGCCTACCCTTGACATAAACAACATGTGGCTTTCAAACCCAGGGGGAAAAGTTCCCGAATGCAAACAACCAGAGTCCTGCAGATCCAGACTCACTGTCCGTGAAGCTCATACAGGCATAGGGCATAACAGCGTGCCCCAGAAATGCTTGCCGCAGACTCAAACAAATCTCCCTATTGCCACATGGAGAGGGATCGGCCTCTTGTGTGGCACCTTCCAGCCTGCCCAGCACCCTGCAGAGAGCAGGGGAGACTCCCACAAACACGGCCTCAATGCAGTGGTAAATCTGTACAAACGTTAATGCACTGTGCACACACATCAGAGAGGGTTCTCCAGTGTGAGAGCCTGGGGTAAACGCCAGCAGTATCAATGTCAGAGCTGGGGCCTTTGCAAAGATTTATGGAGCTTGGCGGCCAAGCCCCTTTGTGTTCCAGGGGGCAGGAGGGACCGTGGATATGATACAATAACATCTTAGGTACTATAGGAATAGCTATAATAATAATCCTTATTTGGGGAACACTCTGCAAGTGGAACCTCAGGGCGATTTTTCTCTCCACGTTTTGTCCTAAGAGGGGGAGCAGGGGTGTGACTGTCCCTTCAAGGCATTTATCCTAGAGGGGTCCTACAAAAGATTCTCCATGGAAAAAGATGGAACTTGAGCTTTTAAAAAGCTCCTTCTCCCAGTTGCAGAAAGCTGCTCCCTGTAACTGACAGTCACCTCTTCTCCTGTGTGCACTCCAGGCGCTGCAGCTGAAACGCTGTTATGTCAGCAAGCAGCTATCCTATGGATTCCCCGCACCCATCCTACGCTCCACCCAACAGTCCTGTACTTTAAAAGCCACAGATATAAACTCCAAGCACGAGGAACAAAACCCTGGAAGTCACCACCGGGAGGAGCCCTTGTCCTCATCTTTGTCCTTCCCCTAATGCCAGGGGTGGGGAACCTCAGCCCCCCCTTCCCCCCCCCGGCTTGCCTGGATCCGGCCCTCTCCCCCCGCCACCCTATCAGGGGTCTTGGTTGTTGTTTTTGAGTTTTTTGCTTCTCACTAATGTTCGCCTCCCAACTGATTTTTCTGTGGGTCAGCAGCTCCTGACCCAAAAAAGGTTCTCCACCCCCAGCCCTATGCCCATTCCATCACTCATCCCTTGCTTCTACCACCCCCCTTCTGGACAAATTCGGCTCCCAGTCACGCTCCAGCAAGAATCCTCCCTTTAGGAATTGCTTTGATTTCATAAACCACCCTGGGCATAGCCTGGTGTCTCTGGGGGCAGGATTTACCCCCCAGCTCCTTGCCAGGGGGATTATAACTTTATCCCTACAACTGCAAAGTGCCCTGCATCCCCAATGTAGATATTGACTGAGCACCAGAGGGAGCAGCCAGGGAGTTACTCCAGACTGGTGTGAAAGCAGAATCTGGCCCATCGCTGGGAAATAAACAATACCCATGACCCCTGTGCACACATACCGGCTACACACCCCCTGCCCTCCTCTCCCGGACCAAAACTCACCCTCTCCTGGCTGCTTCTCCAGAGCTAACACAGTGAGGCGCGTTCTCCTCCCTTTCCAACAGAGACAGGATAGCGCTGACCCGAGAGAAACTCTAAAGAGGGGCAACCCCCCGCAGGGCGCCGGGGCTACACACACAGCCCAGGGGAGGGGCGGCGCTCTGAACCGGGCCAGCTCCTGCTACGGAGTGCGAGCGCAGCAGAGGCAGCTGAAAGGGCAGGTGTGAAATCTTTATCCTGGGACACCGCTGGCCCACAGAGCCAGCGTGGGAGCTGGCTGTATCCCGGCTCTCCCCTCCCCCACACTCAGGCGACTGCTGCCCCCTGGCTGGGCTGGGCTGGGCCACTTGGGGAGGAGGGAGCTGGAGAGAGGAGGCGCGTTGCTGGGTCTGGCTACCCCGCCCCGGCGCGCAAACCCGAACGGATCGGGGCGCCTCGCTGCCTCCTCCCCGCGCAGAGTTTAATCCTCCCCAGAGAAGGGCAGGGGCAGGTCTGCGAGCCCCCCCATCGGTGCAGGGAGACGTCAGGGGACTGCCAGCGCCAGCAGCGGCTGCCGGGCTGCGGGAGCTCGGACCCCACCCCCGCCCCTCCCCTCCGCTCCCGGGGCTCTCACTTTGGGAGCCGCGTCGCTCCCGTTCACACTTGGCGGCGGGCGCTGGGCGGGCGTGTGATGAGGCGGCCCGGCTCCCGCAGGCTCCCGGAGCTGTGAGCGGGATCCCCGGGGGGCGCTTTCGGAGTCCCCCCGCCCCCGCTCCCCGCAGGGACTCGATGCCCAGGCAGGGAGGATGGCAGGGAGGCGGCCGGCGGGCGCCGGGGCGCTGCGGCTGCTGAGAGCCCGCGGGCGCGCCCTCTCCCTGCTCCGCTGGCTGGGCATGCTGCTGCTGCCGCCGCTGCTGCAGGCCGGGCAGGGCTGCCCCGAGCACTGCTCCTGCTTCTCCACACCGGAGTTCGTCCAGTGCAGCGACGTCCCCCTGCGGGAGCCGCCGCCGGACCTGCCCCGCGGCGTGCGCACCCTCAGCATCGCGGGCGGCAACCTGACGGTGCTGAGCCGGGCGGCCTTCGCCGGCAACGGGAGCCGGCCGCTGGGCAACCTGAGCCTGCTGCTGCTGGCCCGGGACAACATCCAGACCATCGAGGAGCGCGCCTTCCAGGGGCTGCCCAGCCTGGAGGAGCTGGATCTCAGCCTCAACCCGCTGCGCGCCCTGGCGGCCGGCGCCTTCCGCGGCTGCCCGCGGCTCCGCACCCTCAAACTCAACCAGGCGCTGCTGCTGCTGGGCGAGGAGCCGCTGGCCGGCGCCCTGCGCAACCTCAGCCTACGGCGGCTGGAGCTGGCGGGCAACGAGCTGCGGGAGCTGCCGGGCGCCGCGCTGCCGGACGGACTGGAGGAGCTGGACCTGCGGAACAACTCGCTGCAGGGGCTGAGCCCCGAGGAGCTGGCCCGCCTGGACTCGGCCCCGCTGGGCAGGCTCCAGCTCTACCTGGACGCCAACCCGCTGCGCTGCGACTGCGCCCTGCGCCCGCTGCTGGACTGGATGCGCAACGCCAGCTGGAGGGTGCCCGACGCGCACAGCCTGCGCTGCGCCGCCCCGCGGGAGGTGAGCGGCACCGAGGAGCTGCACCCCCGCCTGGAGCAGCTGGGCTGTGGGGCAGGCCGGGAGCTGAGGCCCGAGGAGGCCGGCGAGCAGGAGGAGCTGGAGACCGCCTCCTACGTCTTCTTCGGCATCGTGCTGGCGCTGATTGGGGTCATCTTCCTCATGGTGCTGTACCTCAACCGCAGGGGCATCAAGCGCTGGCTCAACAACCTGCGGGAGGCCTGCCGGGACCAGATGGAGGGTTACCACTACCGCTACGAGCAGGACACCGACCCGCGCCGGGCCAGCGCCAGCCCCTCCTCGGGACTCTGAGCCGGGGCCACCTCTGGGCCAGAGAGCCCTGACCCCTGCCCTTGGGGATCCCACCCTATCAGCCCTGCCCCCACGCGCCCCTCCCCTCCAGCTCCCCCAATCCGGAACTTTGGGAAGCCCTGCCCAATGCCCGCTAGGGGACCCCACCCCTCTGACATCCAGCTGTTGGGGATTCCCCCCTTGCAGCCAGATCCTACCACTCCAGTCCCCAACCCTGGGGTTTGGAAAGCCCACCCATCCAGCCCTAGGCCCTTGGGGATTCCCCCCTTCCAGTACCCACTCCCCTGGCTCTTGGGGATTCTACCTTATTACCCAATGAGTGTTACCCACATGCATGCATAAGGCTACCACTACCCAGGAAATCCCCACAGCACTTCACCTAGAGATGGCTTGGTGCAGGAGATACCTGTTCACTCCTCTCCCCAGGAGAATACCCTTCACCAATCCGCATCCATTACCCCAGGAATACATACCGCACCCACCCACCCACTACTTGGGAATACTCCCTTCTCCCTTCCTGCCCAACAGAGGGCACTTCCAACCAGGACAACACCCACCTGTCCAGGGAACACCCAGCAACAATACCCCTCCACCAACCCCCACCTCCAACAGAACAGTTCTGTGCTAGTCTGCTTGGGGTAGTGCAGGATCCATCCTTGGGACAATAATCCCCCAAACAAGAAAACTACCCAGGAGTCCCCCTGCTCCACCCCCTCCTCCCTCACTTCCCAGAAGAATACACCCCCTCAAGGGCCCTGGGAATTGTGAATGTACCAGAGCTACGCATCTTCAAAGGATTAACCTGCATTAGAGCACACCCATGTTCCCCCCAGTGTTCTAGGGACATACGAATGTACAGGATTCTGCATGTAGAATTAACCCCTCGGTGGTGAATTCACTGGCTCCACCCTGAGAGGCCCTTCTCTCCCCACCCCTGTGATCCAGGTGGGGTATGAATGTACAGGAAACACCCAGATCCATGCAGAATTAACTCCCATCCAGGACTATGCAGCAACCCCTCCTGAATAACCTGCCCACAGTCCATGGGTGTGCAGAATCTAGCTCAACAGAACACACCCCCTTCTGAATGAAAGCTCTTCACTCCTCCAGAGTGTGTGACTGCTCACATGAATGCACAGAAGAGTTCCATGCACAAGTGACGCTTAGTTACTCCAGGATTTGTTTGATTTTTTTCCTTTATAAAAAAAAACAAACTTCTGCAACAAGCTTAGAATCCAACTCCCTTTGAATTTACTTTGTGCACCTGGACCATGGGTGAGTTTTTACTTGGCAAATTGCTGTAAGCAATGAGCTAGCTGGTGGTAAACTTGTCTCCTGGATTTTACTGGAGCCTAGACTTTACTTTTACTGTGTACAGTTCTCTTTCTTAGTATATTTCTATTTAACACACACAAAACTAACTTGATTTTTTTTTCGCTCCAAAAACTGAGGATGAGAAAACAAAAACAAAAAAAAACACAAGAAATGATATGATCTGCTGAGTCCATTTATGTTTTATGTTTTTGGTCCACAAAAATTATTACTTCTCTCAGGCACAATATAATGCACCTGCACAACAACAACAGCCCTTCCCCACAGGCTGAATGCATGTTGCTAAAGCACATGGAGGCAATTCATTTCCAACTGCGAAATATAATCTAGGTGAGGTTGTCTCAGCGATCTTTGTAACTGTTTGGGGAAAAAAAAGGCTCTCCATAACTTGCACAGGTTTGGATTAGAACTGCGCCTGTTAGTATATACTAGAGCCAATACACTGAAAGCTGCATCCAATGTATTGTATGTTTTCTATAAAACTTATTCCAAGAATTTTGGAATACTTCATGGTGGAAGCAATGTTGTTGTTATGGTCTGTGTTTTGCAGAGCAAGACAGATATGAAATCATCTCTGTAAATAGATGGTCCAATATAAACTTTTGTTCTGTTGCTAGTTCTGTGTTTAGTGAAGGAGAATGAATTGAATGGTTAGTGCACAGCATTCGGGTTCTAATCATTCTGACCGAAACTTGCTATGGGGTATATGGCCAATAATTTCCAAAGTGGTGGGGCATATGGCTAATAATTCTGGGGTTCCTCGGTGTTCCGATGCCTAACTATTGGAACGTCTTTAGCCTGTTGTGCCTCCCAGCCCGCCAGCTGGGGAGCAGCAGGTGCTCCGTTTCTCTGGACTCACGCTGATTTTGGCCTTAAGCTGGTCTCTGTTTGCTTCTCTGTCAAAGCTGGATAATAATGTTTCATACTTCACAGGAGTGTTGTGAGCCCTAATAAATTAAAGCCTGACCCTGCTGACATCCAGGGGTACAGGATCCCCATGTCTATAGCATGCTTTGAGATATTTGGAAGCAAGGCAACATGTAATTATTATTGGGCTACCCTAAGGCATGAGCAAATCCAGGTCTCAATTCTGCAAACTGCTCCACATAGGATGTCTCCTGTGGCTAAGCAAGTCCCCCTGAAAGTCCAAGGGGAAAGCTGTGCAGAGCAGCTCTGAGGATAGGAAGCGAAGAGACTTGCAGTCCTTGCTCTGGCAAATCTCAAGTAAAGAATTCAGGCTCAGTGTGAAAAGCATCCTACGCACATGGGGTGTGGATCCGTTCCTGTTGACTCCAATGGCAAAGTCCCCATTGGCTTCCATGGAACTCAGACCCCTAACTCACACAAATGCTTTTCAAAATTCCACCTGTGGGTTCCTGCATATGAACTTAGAAGCCCAACTTTTCAGCTCCACATGTCAGCCTCTCTGCGTTTTATAGAAGGAGCTCTCTCTCAGCTCTGGCACCTAAGATTAACACTCTGACAAAACATGTCTATAGGTTTATGCAGCTTTTTAATTGCATGTGGCTTTGTCAGTTTGTGATACGGTTTAATCTAATTATGCCTGACCTGTCTGCCAGAAACTTTTTGACCATATTCAATAAATAAAGTTGGCAGAACATTTGTGGGAGCAAAGGACTCTTGCTTCATGACACCAGAGATCTGAGTTGCTGTTTCCTAAAAAGGGTTCTTTTTTGCCAAAATGAGTGAGTTGGTATTTTCCTGTTCATCAAAGGGAAGGACTTCCTAGCTCCCGCAGCAATGAGGCAGAACAAGGTTGAGTGCTGTGCGTGTCTTTAATACACCTTGGTCCTTTCCTGCAGCACCTGCTCCTTGCCATACTTGAGCGAAGCAAAACCCAACAGACCAGATTCTGCAGTCCTCCCTCCATCTCAGATCCCATTGGCTTCCAAAGAACCCAGATCTGGCATAATGTCTAAATGGAGAATAGTTGTTTACATGAATATAGAATGGCGTGCCTTGTTGCTGAACTAACCTGCTTGCCTGCTTCTAAAGGAATTAAATGCAAGGTGGATGGAAAACCTGGTGGAATTTTACTGAAAACTCCCTCTGACAAAGTAGAGGTGCCTACTACTTCATCATCTTGGGAAAGGAGGCGTAGGCATGCCTGCCATCCAGCTGGCAGATGTAATGGTAACACTGTATGTTTTCCTATGTAAGGGTGGACAATATGCAGCCTTCATAACCCTGTTAAGATCAGCGCCTCTATCTCTCCCTCTTTCCTGTGTTGTTTTCCTGTCTCCTGGAGTTAACTCAGTTCACCCTGTCAGGGCCTGATCCTGCAAACCCTCATTCACATTGGTCCAACGGGCACTGCAGATCTGCACCCCGTGGCTCAGAGTCACAAAACTCTGTTTGCAGTAAAAAAGTGGGCTCTGAGCTTCCAGTTCCCTTTGTGGACCTGGGCCTGGGTCCCTTTATGCATAGAGTGGGATTTCCAGTAAACAGAAAAGTTCCAGTGTAGACCTGCCCGGCAGGGCTCAGTATCAGCCCAGCCCTGTGACTGGCCTTGGAGGTGAACTTCCATCAGACTGAAGCAGGGGAGGACATCCATGATGGGGAGGGTCTATGTGTGGCCCAGGAAACATTTTACCATGGCCCATGAACAGGGTTTCCATCCATGCAGGTTTTTTCCTACTGGTATTACTAAAGTGACACATACATGAAGCAGGGGCATGTGAGGAGAGGTCCATGCTGATCGCACACAAAAATGATTGTGAGAGGCTGTGCGCTCCTTCTGCATCCAATCAAAGTGCTTCTAGAGTTCAACTAACCCACTTCACAAATCCTAGGTATGGAAGTGCAGTTAGCAAAACTGCCCTGTCCCAGGAGGCCATTTTGGTTATGACAATCTTGTGGCCCACTGAAATGGAGGGCCCCTCATACAGCCCACTCACTAGCTTGGGTTACCCATTGCTGGGCTAAAGAAAACTCCAGAAGGCCCCCGGCCCCCACACCTGCAGGACGGTGACCAGGCCCCTTGCCTTCAGTGGCTCTTCCCACATGAGTATTGGCATGCAGGATTGGGCCTGTGGTCTGTGGATGCCAGTAAGGCACAATGCCCCTTTTGGATTCTCACAATTCCTTGCTCAGTTTCCCATAGAACTTAATTTGCTGGGACCCCCCCTCCCGACACCTGCGGGTGAGTCACTGTAGTTCTAGAGCTGATGGGAACTGGGTTGTAGGGATCTATATTGCAGAGTTATCTGCTTGCAGAGATAAACCACAGCTTATTTTTAGTGGTGGTTTTGCTCTAACTTCTCTCGTTCCTTAAAGTTTTAGAATTTGATTCTAAAACATTGAAGTAAATGGGAGTTCTGCTTTCACTGAGCGCAGGACTGGTCACCTGGTTTGCAAATTCATGGCATCTGTTTGCCCCTCAGACATAGCTCTGGTGTCCAAGCAAAGTATTCTAGATAAATTAGAGTTCCCATGATTCTCCTCTAACTTGACTGGTGAAAATCAGGAGCCATCAGTGAAGTCCATGGAGTGACAGCAGTGGAGAAATGATCATAAGCAAAAGCAGAATCTGCCCCCCCCCCCCCCCCCCTTCGGGGACTGTTGTGAACAATGCAGATGCGGCATCTCTCTGTGGTGTTCCAAAGACTCCCTGAAAAGGAAACACACTGACCAATAGAGCTCACTGCACAGAGGCAGCTGCAGGGAGCCAGGCCAGCAGTCGGGGCCTGAGTGTCTCGCGTGTGCGATTTACCGTGGATTATTGTCATCTTAGTTTCTCATTTGTTCAAAAGAAACCAACCATGGGAGGAGGGTAGTTGGTAGTATGAAAGCAGATTTGGAAGAAACAGTGTGTATTTATATATCTGTAACCCTGTGTGTGTGTATGTGTGTGGCCAGCTCCCCAACTGGTGGGAACTGGCCCAGCTACAGTGAAATGGAATCTCCGTCACTGGAGATTTTTAAGAGATGGTTAGACAAACATCTATCAGGGATAGTCTAGATAGTGTTTATCCTGCCATGAGGGCAGGAGACTGGGCTAGATGACCTCTTGAGGTCCCTTCTAGTCCCCTTGATTCTATGAAATCAATGGGGCTGTATCAGTTAACACCATTATTAATTGTACTGCAGTCATGACTAGCTGTCCCCCATTATGCTAGGAGAGCATACACATAATGAGACAGTCCCTCCCCTAAAGATCCTACAGTGTAAATTGACAGACAAGGGGAAACTGAGGCATAGATAAGGCCATGACTTCCTGAAGGTCACCCAGCAGGTCAGCAGGATTTGCAGTTCAGTTCTGTATTCACTTGACTATGTGAAGTTGCTATGCCAGATAACACCATCTGAGGATTTGGCCCGTAACATTTCAGCTGTAACACACTAAAGAGTTCCTTAGCTTCAGTATATGCTTGAAAAGACCTTCAGGATTGACCAGGACGTGGTTAAATTTTCTAGCATTCTTTCGGCCTTGCTTATAGAATGTAATAATGTCACAGCCCTGCTATATAGAATTCTACAGCACATGGGAGCTCTAATAGAAAGGGCTCATTCGCCAATACATTTCACAGAGGGATTCCTGCAGGTCTGATTTCTCTGCTGCGTTGCACCAGTTTTACATCTATCTGACTCCACTGATCTCAATAGTGCTGTCATGGGCAAAAACGGATGTAACTGTGGCGAATTAGATTCAATCTCTGTAAATTCTATTGAACTCTTCCATGGGGGTTTTCATAGTCACCCATCCCATTTCCAACACTTCCTCTGCAACAAGGCCCTTCTGACTTAGGTGCTCTGGAAGGTTGCCTTTCCCAGTTAGCTATTGTGACCATCCTAGACATGTTATTTTGTGCTGTACAGACCACAGGAAACCTCTCCCCACTCCCGAAAACTTCCGAGTTATTTGTCATTTGTGTTCATCTGGTGTCAGTTTTGTTCTCCAAAGGCCAGATGCTGGATCTGCTGAAATCTAACCTCACTGGGACCAGGATTTGGTTTTTAGCACTTATCCTACCGACCCAGAATGGGAGAGAGTTCAGGGTAGTTCTCTGGGTCTGAAGAGTTCAGGGTGGGTCTCTGCTCCGCTTCCTTCTGGAGTTGGATTGAGGCAGTCAGGATTATTACAAGTTAGGGATAGGCAGCAGACCAGCCATTCCCCACTAATTATCCCACGGCCACCAGAGGCCCCGAGGTTCTTAGATGCAGCAGAACTGGGAATCCCCATCCCCTGGCAATGGGGCAGGCTCTTAGGAAGTCCATGCAGGTGAGTGTCTATGGAGATTTGCTGTACACTGTAAGGGGGCCGCTGCAGGCCAAGGAGGCAGGTCACAGCTGTTCATGGAGACACCAGGGCTATGTCTACACTCATGGCTTTTTGCACCAGAAATATGCAAATTAGGCTAAATGTGGAATATTGCTGAGCATCATTTGCATACCTAATGAGCTGCCATTTTTGCAGAAGAGGCGCTTGCGCCAGAAGGAGCTGTCTACGCTACCCCTTCTTGCACAACAAAAACCCTCTTGCGCAATGCCGTTACATCGATTACTTTTCAGAAAGAACGGCATTGCGCAAGAGAGTTTTTCTTGCACAAGAAAGGGCAGCATAGGGTACGTCTAGACTACATGCCTCTGTTGCCAGAGGCATGTAGATTAGGCTACCAGACATAGTAAAATGAAGCAGCGATTTAAATAAGCGCCGCTTCATTTAAATTTACATGGCTGCCGCACTGAGCCGACAAACAGCTGATCAGCT